CTCTTGCCGCCGCCGGCCGCAGCACGGACGCAGGTAAGGCTCCCCCTCTCCCTTCTCCATTCTCCTCCGGCGACCTGCACCCTCTCGTGACCCCCCGCCGCCCTCTCTTGTCTCCTGCACTGCAGGCAGCACTGGACTCGGCTTCCCCTGCTGCAAGCTGATTGACACTGACCAAATGTGCTAGATTATGTATACACTGCACCACGTGTTTAGGTTTGCATCTGCGGGGATTAATCATAATTTTTGGCAATTATTTGCTACATTAGAGGCAGTGAGCAAATATATAGACAGTCCCATGTGTGTATAGGTTAGCAATCATAAATCATCATGTTCTGTTGGTGTGTATGTAGGAGCACATGATATATTTTTTTTGTATGAACCGGAAATAAATTTCGGGGCAAAAAAATCCATTGCCACTTCTGAAATTGGTTTGTCTGTTCTGTTCATTATACTGCTAGTGCTAGTTTAATTCGGTTAATGTATTCATAGCAGAGCCTGAACATTTGGTGTCATTGCGGTCCTTTGCTGCCGATGGGGAAGCTGAAGCCCGTTTCTCCGACGGCTACTCCTCGAGGTATGAAACCTTTGTCACTGTCTCTTGCCGAAAGCTTCGAATTCGTCCCTTGCTCAGTTTCTCTCCCCTCGTGTCGCTGTCATGTGGCTTCAGGTCAGAAGAGGCGCCGTGAGAAGCCCAAAAGGCCGGTGCTCGATGATGGTCTTCCTGACTCTCCAGGTTTGGTTTTCGTTACTGTGTGAATCGTATTCGCTTCCTCTCTTTTGCAGACAGTGGCAATATATGCAATAATTGGTAGTGCTTCGATTTCCTCCTCACTTGTTTCGTGCTAAAATTATTATGTGGAATTGTATGCTGGTGGTTGGTGAAGCCTTGCGTTCTAGAGGAAAATGAGTAGATGACAACTCAATTTCTGGGTTCAGTTGTTTAGTTTCTACTTAGAAGCTGAGGTACCGTGGTAGTACAGGCTAGAAAGTGGTACATGCTAGAAAAATGTCTGGGCATACTAAAAAGATAATTTATTTCCATGACAATGGCTAGTGCTGGAGCCATCCATTTAAGACTCAGTAAGTATGTAACTGTCTAACTTAGATAATACATGATTCATGAACCTTCTCCAGGTTATTCGTAAAGTTTTGATGATCTTATTAGTGGATTTGAAGGGGTGTAGTTTCACGGTAGAATGTGTTTCTTTCTAATATAAATAGTACTACTCCACCTCTTCTTCTAATTCAGTTTCATCTCTATTCATTTCGAACCAAACTTTACTTTTTTATGTTCTTGGACGTATGGTTTATTCTCTATTGTTTTTGTGCTCTTGGAGGTATGGTTTATTCTCTATTGGGTTGTACATTTCGCATCTAGGAACATAAAGCGAAAAGGTGCTCTTCATAGGTTTCACGAACCAAGTATTTTATAGGGACGTTACTGATGCTAGAGTGGTGTTATTTTAGCAGACATTATGACTGGCTCAATATTCTTTGCACAGTGATGTGCAATGTGTCAGTATGACCTTTTCCATTTTTGGCGCTTAATTACTTGAGTATTTCATGCAGCTGGAATCATAGCAGCGAAGGCTGTTCGGCGTGAGAAACCATCCAATGAGAGCCCTCAAGGCCTACATCAGAGTGATGACGATGACTCAGATGATTGCAATGTTTCCAGCGAGGATGAGGCACATGATATGAAAAGCAATAAAAGTGATGCTTTTGATGAAATGGAGTCGTCATGGTTGGTGCTATTAATGCAACAGTATTCACATTTTTTTCTTCAGCGACTGGGACGCATATTATTGCTATTGTAAATGGACAAGGATTATATTAGTTTATATGATATCGGTCATTCAGTTTTAGTGTATTATGCCACCATCTTTGTCCTACATGTCTACTAGGTTTAAGAGTGCTTGTTTGATGTTGTCTCTACTGTATCATTTTATTTTATTGCATTATATGTATGATATATTCATATAACTCGTTCTAACACCACCCCTTTTTGTATGTTCCAGTTCATTTCAGCGTCATGTTACTCACGTGCTAGCAAATGATGAAGTCAATGCATTAGTGAATCAGAAGAGTAAATTTAAATGGGAGATGCCTGCTGAGGACATTCCAAAATCCAAATGGGTTGGGACAGGTGAAAAAATTAAGGTACTTCATGGAATTATTTCATCATGATATGCTCTCATTAAATTATTTTGATTAATTATCTTGTTTCTCCTTGAAATGCAGGCCACTGAACTTGAGCCTTTGATAGCTGTATATATATGTGTAATTTGAAGACCAAAATTCCATGTTCATCATGTGTTTAAATCACCTTATGACCTATGTTCATGTTATAACACTTTTTGTGAGGGGTTACTATGGTGCATTTCTCTGTTCCACAGCAATCTGCAGTTACTTGCAATATGTTTGCAGTGGTAAGTGAAGTGTGCCTTTTCAAGGGGCAAGTCCTGCTGAAATTAGTCCATGCTCCTCTGTGTTTGTGTACTTGATCCATTACATTAGTTATCAAATTATTCAACTGCTTCATGCTGAGTTATCAACTTCATTAGTAGTGCAGGGATGTTTTTCTGAATAATAAATACTTCAGGCAGCTTCGTATTGGAAGCTGATTCTTAATGCTTTGTACTTTCAGGGAGCTTCTGATGACCCTTTTGTTGATGTCAAAGGAAAATTGAAGGACCACTGGCAAAAAATCCTCTCTGATGATTTGAATTATAGATCGAGGTTCTTCTCACTTTGTAAGTTTTCCTATTTGATTATCTTTTAGTTAGTGCCTTATTTCACAAATGACATGACTCAGTAGAACATTAAAGTTGCCCAGTTTAGAATTCGTGCCTACTAAAAGTGCATGCCATTCATTACCTTAAGATATATTAATTAACCAATAGTGCTGCCTGAGAGGAATAAGAGAGTTAGTTTTCTAGAATTCACGAAGATCCATATTTCTGATTAGTTCTTGTAGCACATCCCAACAACAGAAAAGTGGACATAATATTAGTTGGATCAGGACTTACAACTGTAAATTCCATGTGATGACACTTATTCTACGTGTTTGTAAGTGATAACTCTAAAACTGATCTCCGAAGTGAACTAGGAAGAAATTTTCTTTCCCAAAGAAGCCAGCAGGAGCTTCTCTGCCCATTCTGCTAGTAGTGGAAAGTAAAGATTTTAGGATACATTCTTCCAGATGGAAGATTGTGTCCCTTTAAGGCTCTCAACTGATCCAGATGTGCGCTTTCATTTATTCCGCTCGACCTGAAGGATTGAAACTATTTTGTTCACAAACAAGCTGAACATGTTTTGGGTGGGTGTTTTTGTTGGGTAGGTGGGTGGATGGGTGGGGTCTTCTGTTTCCCCCCTCTGCAGAACCAGTTAATACCATCCATAACTTGTGAAAACAGTAAATGCCCCTGAGAATTGGTGATGTTTATTAATCCTACTTTGTCAGGTGTCCGTCTTGGTAAATTTGGCGTATAGCAACATAAAGTACCTTTTGTGGTTCCCTTATCCTAAAGATTATGCTGTGCATGTCTTTTTGATCCTCGCTATTTTTGAGAAAAGGATTATTACCAATATGGTTTTAGGCTTTTAGCATACATACCAAGTTACCAACTCCATTATACACTTTGTTTCTCGTATAATTAAGCATATCTAAGACAAATTGTAGCGCAACATGTCATGCTTCCTCCCTAAAATGGTGTAGTGCGCTCTCTCTATCACTTTTTTTAAGTGTATTTCTAATCCTAATCATCTCTTACAGGTAATAGCTATCGTGACATAATGCATTGTAATAAGAAGCCATTTTATCTTAAGGGTAGTAAGGTGGATTCCAGTACTATGGACGCATATCTTATGCATGCTATAAGTTTTGCAATCTCTATTTGGTAGCATTATTACTGTACCTGTTATGATGCTGACTAATGTGCAATATTGTCACAATGGCAGTTGAGCCATGTTCATAGGACAAGAGATGTTGTCATTAAGAATGATGCGAAGCTTAGGAATGATGCTAACACAGATGTTATGGCGGACGACTCATACCGCGATCAGGGTTTTACACGTCCAAAGGTATATGTCAGATAGTCGCAACACATTTGAGAAAACGGTATCTTATTTGGCATGATGTATTGCATAGATGTGTGCTGGGCTACAGTTGCTTGACAGTTAACTGCACTATTTTATCAAGTAAATGCTATATCTCTTTTTGTTAAGAGTAAATGTTGTTGTACCTCCATTTATACACAACTTGTAATTTTGTTGTATCTTGATCTGTTGAACTAATTGCTATTTTCTTTTGTATTATATCATGACCTTAGGTTCTTTTCTTGTTACCTCTCAAAAGCATTGCACGACGCATTGTGAAGAGATTAATCCAATTATCTCCGCTGACACAAAAGGTAACATTTGACCTTTGCAGCTACTCTTACAGATAGCATCTGAATATCAATTTCTATGAAATACGCTGCCAAATTGTACCATGAATTCCATTTGGATCTGCAAATCATTTGCATATATAATTTATGGTTGCTGGTTCAGTTATTATTTTGCTCTGGTGCTAAGAAATAGAGAATCCTTACTTTTACTTGCAGGATAATTCTATGGGACAATTCAAGAAAGAGTTTGGCGAATCAGATGATGAACTGGAGGAGCCAAATAGTTCAAAACCAACAGACTTTAACCTTCTGTTTGCTGGGGATGTTGAAGATCACTTTCTTTTTGGAATAAAATTTACAAAGTAAGTGTGCTGTTAATTTTTCCCTGTAATAATTTTCTAGTTGTGAGGACTAGTACGTCTACTATGTACTCTACACAGTTTTTTGTCAACAGCTCAATTTTTTTCTTCAGTTTTCATTGCCAATCACAGGCTTCTGAAGTGAACATGAGTATGTTAAAGGAAATAGGCAAATCCTCAGCAGAAGCAGAACCAATTACAAAAATTATAATTATAACTCATATTCACTTGTTTGTTAAGACTTCATCTTGTAAAATGTTTCAGTATCTTTTGTGTTTTGTGAACCTTTTGGTTACTCTTTTATTATTCTGCACTGTGAGATCTCATGCTTTTAGCAAACTATATGTCCTTAAATTCGTTATTCCTTTCACATTGATATTTTTATATTTACGTAGGATTCTATATTTATATAAGATTTCTTAAAAAATTAATGTTTTAACTAATGCTTCTGCAGGAAATCTGTTAAGCTATACAGCAATTTCTACGCTTCTGATATTATAGTTGCGTTTCCTTAGCGCTTAAACTTGTAAGTACTCTTTAACAAAGATTTCTTAATACACTTAATTAGTCATGATTACTCATGTGCCCAGCAGCTGTATATTTTTATTGTTCTGGGGACACCTCATAGGCAACTGACCTTATTATACCTGCCTGTTATCAGAAAATTGATGGAGGTGAAGTTACCAAGAAAAAGGGACGTCCCAAGGAAAACGATTCTGATTTCCTGTCATCAATTGAAGTTAGTTCCACTCGAATCCATATACTATTTTCTATTTACTACTATCTCCAGTCCTATATATTAGTTCATTTTTGATAACCATTAGTGCGTGTAAATAATCTATTTCAGTCTGTAAACATTGATTGAATGAATTTCTTGAAAGTTCAAGTATTTTGTCATCATTTTGAAGGGGGTATAAGTTTCAAATTAAATTTCCCTAGCTGCATGTTCAGTGGACAAACATTCCAATAAACTGCACGTCAATTCCTGTTAATTGCTCCAGAATGTTATGCTTGGGATGTGTCCAAATGGTAATTGACTGAGCTCTTGCTATTGCAACGCTTGTCCAGAGTACCCGTAGCTCAACGATGTTTAATTTAAACCTTGTATTTCATTGAATTATTAACTTCTAGTTCTTTGATTTGGGTATATTTTAAAACTTGTAGTTCTTTGACCCATGAATATTTTAAAACTTGTAGCACTCTGACCATGTGCTAAGAAACTTAGTTTGAGAAAAGTTACTCATACTTGGTACATTGGTCTCAAAAGTATTTCACAATACTTCAGAGTTGCTAATGTATTGTAATAAGAAACCCTGTGTTTCAATTTGTATAGTTGAAGCCATGACAAGTCAACATAGACTTCCATAAAGGAACAGTAACTGTGCACATTCAATTTTTTTCTCTGTACAAGCTCTAAATTATCAATACATTTGTTCTGTGCAGATCGTGGTTGTTGATTACACAGATGTGATATCTATGCAGGTTAAACTCCAACTCAAATAATTTGCTGTACTTATTTTCTGATGCCTGCTGGTAAAAATAACTGTGTTATTTATAAATGTAGAATTGGTCGCATCTGCATGCTGTTCTTGAACAACTAAATCATTTGCCATCAAAAGAGCATGTAACCAATGTGATGCGGATCAGGCCATGGTAATTCTTTTTTTCGTGGATATCTATTCCTGTATAGCATCTTCTGTTGTCGTACTTCTATCTATAAGAGTATAAGACGCCAACTCACTGTATTGTGAACTGCAAAAAGGCTTGGAAGTTATTCCTGATTTGACGTTTGCGAGGTCAGTTTCATGCTTGTTACATTTTCTTTATTTGGCTAAGGTACCTGGATGAGCAAGCACGGTACTATCGGCAAACAATAATCTTAAGTTCGTATCTTACGCCAGGTATGGAATTTCACTTGGAACTCTGGCCATCATTGGATTCCAGTTTTCTAGGCTTCAGCTTCTATCATTCAGTTGAATTTTCAGTATCAACTAAAATTAAACTAGTTATGCTTTTAATCATGATCTGCATTTATTTGCTAAACATTATTATTATTTTTGCGAATGGTGTAGGTCTCCCCTGGTGTTATGCATGGTTCTTTGGTATACAAAATTGCTTGCATTAGTTGTGCATGTGTAAAGTGATACTTGCTATTCTATTCTTAATTGTGCTACATAGAGTGGACCTTTTATTTATTTGCATCGTCATCTACTTATTTACTTATAAACCTATTTATGTTCTAATTTTTTGCCTGCTGAGCAGAGATGAATGCTTTGTTCAACGGATTATGTCGAAATTACGAGGGGAAGGTATATAGTATGCTGGAAGTCACTAAGCTATTTGCCGTGTTGGACTCATGTTTCTAACATGCCTGAGCTCAACCTTTTCAGGTTAAGCTGGCGACTGAGTTTACAGGTGTTCTTCCCAAAATACAGCTTGAAATACGGCAGGTCAGTTAATTCATTGTCTCTCCAGACTCCCATCGCATCATTGCAAATTTACTGTCCAGATATGTCCAGTGCATCTGAACAAAACTTGATGACAAGAATCAGGGCTGTTGCTGAGTTTTCAACATAAATTTTGGATGGGCTCGCTCAACAGACACATCCTAGTGCTAAAACAGTATTGATGAAATTACAAATGTTTTTCACTGTCCAATCACTACACAGGTGTATGAACGATTTGATGCATCTTCTATTGGTGAACTTGATGATGCCCGCTTTGAATATTTCTGCACAAAGGTGAGTCCATTTGTCCTTGTAATGCATGCTTGACAAATGCATTATGGAATTGAGCACATTCAGCTCATTTTCACAACTATCACTTGTCCTTTTACAGTACTTAATTAATGTGTAATCTACTGTATGTAAACAATTAGTAAGGGGAAGCAACCTAAATCCTTATCTGGATGTGGTGCCCCCTTCAAATCAGCCTTTGCCTTCTCCGCTTTGTCAACATCCATGGGTCCTCGTTGCCGGTGGCTTTATGTCATGCCCCACATGACATCTCTCCCCTCGTCAAGCAGCTTGTCCTTGAGCTGAAACTGAGGGTAGTGTTGGACAAACTCATCAAGGTGCTCCCAAATGGCATCGTTAGGAGCTGTGCCCTCCCACTGGACAAGGACATGACTGATTCCATGACTGATTCCATGGAGCACTCTGGGCGGGGGCAGGCATCGTGTTAGTGCGCTGACGGGAAGAGTGAGCTGGAGCTCATGGTGCCACCTGTCATGGTGCTTACTGGTATGCTGCTGAGCCTGCAGCAACCGTGCGCAGACCTCTTTGAGAAACTCATTCTCATTGCAGTCGTGTAATGCAGTATGGACGGAAGCCACCTTGGTGTCGTTCTGCGTGTAATCCACTCCACAAGGCCAGTGGCTGTCGGCCATTGACCGACCTCAACAGAAGTTGTGTGCAAGAACGAGCAGAAGGATTTATAGCATTGGCGTAATGCAGGTGTCCCGCTTTGGACGCTTAGGCGACAAGGTGTCCTGCCAGCGCCTTGCAATTTGCCCACCTTAGGCGTAGGCGCTTAGGCGTCAGGGCGGTGCGTGCTCGCCTCACTGCCTTAAGAAATAACTAGTTTAAACCCAATCATCCAAATCAAGTGCTCCAGCAAAATTGTAAACTTAGACACGGGGATTCCATGTTGTGACAATTTTATGAAAAATGGTTTAGCCACACCAAAAATTAGCAACAAGCTGGGACATGTAGTTGTAGTCAGAAGTGCTGATCCCACATGATATCATGGCTCACAACTAATCGCTTTCAGTGTTAGGCGCCGTGTAAAATTATGAGGTCGTATACAGTTTTATTTGGCCACTTCTTATGGTCATGACTCTTAATTATTGGAACAGCTCTAACATTTTTTTTCGTTTCTATATATGTATATCCTATTATTGACTATTTTATGATGTAATAATACAGGTGTACCCAAAGATTCAGGAGTCAGATGAGGTATTGTTTCTTCTATAGTTGTAATATCTGCAATGCTGTCATGTTCACTTAAATTTGGTATTTCTCGACATTGGTAGGAGGATTAGCTTTAAATGTCAATCTGTAGGAGTTAGGCCCTGATAGTTAATTAAAACGTTAGGGGGTAAGAATTCAAGAAACTATGTCTGCATCTGACAGCACATAGCATTTTGGAGGGATATAACCAAACATACCATTTTGTAGCAGTGGGATGTACATACTTAATGTTATTATCGCCCAGGAAAATTTTACAACAGTATTTGTCGGAGGTGTACCAGAATGTTGTGCATTTTGCAGTAAATCTTGTCGGTAGATGTGCCATGCTTGTCTGGAAATGGCGCCATGTTAGAGGAAAATTTTATGTTAGTGGATTGGAAATACATGTGTAATAATTCTCTGATTGTTTGTTGCAAATATGCAGGGCGGAGTGCTGCTATTCGCCAGTTCCTATTTTGAATACATTAGGCTGAGCAGTTTTTTAAAATCTCAGGATGCTTCTTTCTGTAGAATTGGGGAGTAAGTGGATCTTCCTTATTCTTGTAGCTTTATTTTGTTTGCTCAACTACTAAAAGGGGTCTGCTCTCAGTCTTCAGTTTTATCATGAATATGTTTTGTCTTGTGCGTATAGTAACTGCCTATATGTGCTCATATATTAGGGCGACATCACAACAGGATATATCTCGTGCAAGGCTCTGGTTCTTTGAGGGCCAGAAGAAGATCTTGCTTTATAGCGAGAGATCTCACTTCTTCCACAGATACAAGATCATAACATCTGAAAGGCCGGCCATCCCTTGAGTACTTGTTATGATGTGTGCTCTTGCTGCCGTTCATGAGCATGCACCTGCTGAGTGTTCGTTCGTGTGATGCTTAAACTCGTGCTTTTTAAATATGCAGATCAGGGGAGGACATCATTTGGTCGTCTACTCATTGCCAGGGAGAAAAGATTTCTATCCAGAGGTATGTATTGACTAGATTGTGACTGCAGTACGTACTATGTCTGAAGCAAGCTGTGCTGTCGAAGTTGTAAAATATTTTATCTGTCTTGACCCTGGGGTTTTCTTTTCTTTCAGCTTGTAAATATGCTCGGTGAATCAGGAAATCCTAGGTGCAATGTGTTTTTTTCTCGGCTGGACCTCCTTAAGGTGAGACAACCGTTCCATGTACAGCACCGCAGTTACTAAGTTCGTAGCGTATCAAAGTTACAGTCTGGCCGCGTTGTAAAAAGCATGTTGGAGCCTGATAGTCGATCGATAACCGGTTCATATATAGTACGGAGTAGATTGGATTTCTTCTGTAGTGTTTTGTTAAAATTCATTTTGATTGCAAATTTGTAATCGAGCGCCTAGCAAACAAGTTAACATGGGCCGACATTTTCTGTTGCAGCTGGAGCGGATCGTTGGAACGTCGTCTGCACGGAGGCTGATTTCTTCCGATAAGGATATGTTTGTCTTCTGCTGACCGAGCGTATGATAGCCTAGCCGACCAGTAGAATTTTGGAACATGAACTGAAATCCGCTGCTGACTAGTACAGTACAACAGAAAGTTTTTCTACTACTATCTGAAGTTGCAGTAGCGGATTATATATACTATGTAGACGGTTAATGCTTCCAGATTTGTTTCTCCTCATCAATCTTGAGAATTCTTGTTTCACGGAGCCTTAGTCCTTGTGCCAAACTCCACCAGTTCTTTTACGTGCCTCCCCTCGTATTTTATTTTTCGGCACCACTTCAGGTATTTTTCTATCTTTAGCATCGACCTTATTGATTTACTAGTATATACTCACTCTGTCTCAGAATAAGTGTCTCAACCTTAGTATAACTTTGCACTAAAGTTAGTACACAGTTAGCACATTTATTTTGGGACGAAGGAATAGTTGGCGCAGCAGATTGAAAAACTCAAACAAAATCTGTCTGATCCTTGGGGAAGACGATCAAATTGGAGGAAAATCCATGGACCCATGACCCCAATTTCTCCACCCTGTACGAGTCTGATATCACCAAAAGTAAAGCAAAACTATTTCATTACGTTTCTGCACTGCCCAGGATAACAGAACATTCTTTTTGAGGCCTTTTTTCTTTGCGGGGTGAAAACTTGTATTACTCAATCACAAGATCCTTACCATCATCAAAGGCTAAAGACAACGGAAACACTTGCTATCCTAGTCTGCTAGGAGACCATCATCAGACCGCTCGACTATCGTTGATTCTATCAGAATCTGACGGTCATAGATAGGCCTAATCCCTTGCCTTGATATGCGTGCGAAAAAGGGCCCCGCCAGCCAGGAAGCTCACCTCCTGCCTCCCTCTCAACTGGTTGTTGAGCATCACAAGCACTTCACGGCCCAGATCCCCTTCTTCGTGTCACACGCATCTCCCTCGAGCTCGTCGTCATCCGCCCCGTCCTCTCCGACCTCGACGCTCATCAGTTGCTTCATATTCACCTCGTCGTGAAGCAAACACATCCACCCAACCATCCAGATCTGTCCCCCGCTCCACCCCATCTCATCCCTGATTTTGGTGGTTTGCCAGGTTGCCCGTGGGATGAATCGTCGGGCAGAGTAGGACCCGACGCCTAGAAAACCTGCAGTGGTTTTTGGCATGTTTCCCCTATACCCATCTTAAAATCAAAAGTATTACACCGCCTCGATCGATCGCCCCTAATTTGATAATTTTCATTTGTCACATATTGTTGTTAATTCATTTTCTGCCGAGGACTCATTGGTATTCTGCCTAGTATTGTTCTTTTCATGTTGTATTAGGTTATGAATCATGGAACAAATTTTTTAGTTGAAGTATTTAGATCATTCGATCACGCATAGATATTTAGGCAGGCAATCGTGCTTATTCCCTAGATTCAATAATCGGAGCTTTGATTTAAGATGAGAATTGTTGGCAAAAAACAATCTTGGACTGTTTCTATAAAGAGGTTCCACAAATATGCATCCATAGTTGCTGGCAGATTCATTTTAATAACTTAATGCTTCCAACCAACACTTATATATGCACCCAATGAATTATTTTTTAGCTTCTTACCTCGAAGGTTATGTATTGTAATTATTTTGTTTCGGGGGACTAGAAAAAAATGCTTTCATATATAAACAGAAACTCTCTTCTATTTTGAAAGTTAGGGACACAAAAATGCATCCTCATCTTGTGACCAGGCTTAAATTTTTATACATTCTCAATATTCTATGCTTATACCAACACTATGTTGATTTACTATGTTTTGATGCTTCTTGTAAACATTTAATTTTGTTGTCTATAAAATTGCTTCTATACTTCAAGTGATAATCGGTTCAGTTTGTATATTGGAGACACAAGAGATGCATCCTTAGGATGGTACCAATCTTACTTTCTTGTCTACTAATGTCGAGGTCCAATATTTTCATGCTTCCTACATTATTGTTGTACTACCTTCAACAAATAAGCTTACTTAGTTCTAATGCCTTGTTTCCATACAACTATTTTCATCAGACAGCGAGCGTATCCGTTTATTCCCTCTAACCCATTTTTCATATTTGCTAGCATATTACATTGTGTATGTTCTCAGGTGAAACTCGACAATGAAGCAAGGGAACCAGAGGGTATGCTTATGAGTCGATATGCGGCTGGTTGGTTAAACGACGTTGTCTTAAGTCTTCCTGACAAGTGGAAAAAACTGATTCATGGACACTCGGGTAATCCATAGCTACATGTGCGTCACTACAGTTGCCTCCACTGTTGGTCCGACGAGGTAGAACGTCGGCAACCTTCCCATAGCTGATCACCACGGCGCATGTGATCTAGTCTCTCGAAGCATCCGGTATTATAGTTTTGAAGCAATATTTGTACAATCAGAAGCAATTATACACCACGTATGTGTTGTTCTGCCATTGCTGAAAATATTGAAATATGGCGAAGCTTGTATAAGTTATGTTTTGCACCAAAGCATCGAATGATAAGTAATGAAGCTTTATTAATTTCTGTATGAAGCAACTAAATGACACATCAATACCGACGCACCGGATGATAAGCAATGAAGCTCTATTATGTTTTGTATGAAGCGACTCACGGGGAATGTGATTCCACCCATGTGAAGAAGTGTCTCATTCACACTGAAAGATGTTTCCACTATAAAACATAACTACGCGTCCATTATTGGTTGAAAATATGTTTTCATCAATAACTTCCAGGGAGTGTGACAAATGTTGGGTTATGAAATAGAATCAATTAGGGAGTACTTTTGTAGAAAAAAAATATTTGCATCAATAACTACATAGATTCTTTTCGTCTCGTGAAAAAATGCTTCCATTGCAATTTTTTTTAAAAAGGAAAATTCTTCCATTGCCATGTTGTGTTATGGAATAGAAAAAAATCAGGGAGTATGTTGGAGATTTACCGGATACAACAGAAGCATCATCTACGGGATTCCGTTTCCTGAAATATCAAATGTAGTGCTTCTCACAAGTAATGCTTCCATCACGTTGGTGCTTGAATTTGGTAACCTAACGAGTTAGGGAAGGATGCAACAAGGAAGCAACGTTCTAGGGAGAAAGAAACAGATGGAAAGAAATAATAGCCCAAGCGTGGGTTGCTGGAGTAGTGAGAAAGCATTCAGTTAGCGGGTCCAACAAATCTCGCGTGGGTCTAAACCAGTAGATCGGACGGGCGTCCTGTTTCTAATCCAATGGCTAATAACCAGTCTGATAGGATGTAAATATCAGTAGTCTGATGCCTAGTGGTGTCCAAAGACAAAGCAACTTCAGGGTCAGACCCTAATCAAGTCATAGTTCTCCCTCACGTCTAGCAAACTTTTCTATATTTCAGTATGAAAATTACATTTTATGGTCAATATAATGAAACTGATTTAGTCTTTCTTTTTTGAGATCTGAAATTAATTTAGTAATAACCAAGCCAGCCACAACCCAAGCCTTCTGATCCAAGCCACCTTTTCCATGATCGCGTTTATCAAGACGGCCATAGATTTTTGTTTTTTGAACCTGAAAATAGAGTTTTCTATTACTCAACATGAGCTTGTGGAAATTCGGGACCTGCATGCGGGTCCGTGGCTAGTTGCGGGGGACTTTAACTTGCTGGTAAATCAGGAGGACAAAAGCAATGACCGGATCAATCGCAGAATGATGAGCAGATTTCGCTCCAAGCTTAATTCGCTCGAGTTGAAGGAGTTGTATCTCAATGGTCGGAGATATACGTGGTCAAACGAAAGGCAGCATGCAACTCTTGAGAAGATTGACCACGTCTTCGTTTCGAGCGAGTGGGATGAGGCGTTCCCCTCACACTACTAGGGAAAACCCTATACACAGAATCTTAGTAGCAGCGCGGCTCAAAAAGGAGCGCTGCTGCTAATTAGCAATAGCGCGGGTGTGGAAAACCCGCTACTGACAAGTGTTTAGCAGTAGCGCGCTCTGTATAACACGCGCTGCTACAAATATCGACCGACAGTGCCCCCTCAACTCCATTTAGTAGCAGCGAGGTACCGCTAGCCGCGCTACTGCTAAAGCTATAGTAGTAGCGCGGTTTTTCTGAGGTTGATGAGGTCGGAACGCTGCTGCTAATTTTCAAATTGGACACACTTTTTTTCCCGGTTAGCAGTAGCGCTTCTAACGAAAGCGCGCTGCTGCTACTTTCTTATCAGCAGCGCATTTTACGTCCCGCGCTACTGCTAATCTGCACCAACCCACCACCTTTTCTCCACCGTCCCCCCTCCCCCTCCTCTCTTCCCTTTCCCCTACCTCCCACATGCTCCCACTCTCACTCTTCTTCTTCCTCAATACTTCTCCCTCATTACTCTCTCTCTTCTATCTACCTTTCTCTCTCTTCATTACTCCTACCTAACTACACCACCTCCATTAATGCATCTCCTTTCTCTTTTTCCTTCCCCTCCACTAGTTGAAGTTGTCTCCTCCTAAATTAGGTAGCTAGGTAGATGTAGGATTTAGTTAAGTGACCTATTTGCCCCCTAACTAGATCTATCTTTGTCAAGAAGAGCTTTGTGCATTTTTGATCTCCCTACAACATCATCTCCATCGTGTGCTCGATCTCGAGATAGGTGATGAAAATTTCATGCTTTTGCAAAATGGAAATATGTTTATGTGTGTGTGATATGTTTGTGGAAATTGTGTGTGTGGCATGAGTTGACGCCAAATTGTGCTTTTGAGTTGCCTATGTTTTGCCGAAATGTCGATTTATTTCTGTTTCGGTGAATTCCGGGCAAACTCTAGATCCATATATGTCCTATTTTTAGGGAAGGTCATGCCGAATTTTTGTATGACTTTGATGCATGCACGCATTTTTATAATCAATTTGTTTATTATTACCGTGCAGAGTTGACAATGGTCAGTGGAACGATGGTGGACAGGTGGTTGCGGTCGGTGGTGCAGGACATGAAAGAAAATAACCGGACAGAGGTTCTATGTCCGTGTTGAAAATGCAAAGGAATAGTTTGGCTCGACCCCTATG